AACGGCAAAAACGCTTAATTGATGGCCTAAACGACGGAATTTGCCCAAAATTTGACGTGCGTCAGGGCCAAAGGCCCTGAGGTGTGATCATTGGCTCATTTCCAATCAAATTAGACTAGTAATTCGCTAAAAACGAACAAACCCGAAATTAAATGGAATTATTATTTTGCCTTCATCATTCTTACAGTGAATAAATTAACAATTCAATCCAAGCTAGTAACTAAATACCAAAAGGAAAGCAACACGAGAGAACACGACACCAAATTTCTAAGTGGAAAAACCAGTGTAGTGGAAAAAAAATCACATGGCAACTCCGACCAAATCCCGGTAAAGATCATTGGGAGGCAATGAAATGTATCTTTAGATACTTGAGAGGTACTTCAAAGATGTGCTTGATTTTTGGAGGTTCAAAGCCAGTTTTGGAGGGCTTTACGGATGTAGATATGGCTGGTGATCTTCATGGTAGAAAATCAACTTCATGATACATAGTTACTTTTGCAGGAGGAGCCGTCTCATGGCGATCAAAACTACAGAAGTGTGTTGCCTTATTTACAACTAAGGATGAGTACATTGCAGTAATTGAAACAGCGAAAGAAATTCTTTGGATGAAACAGTTTCTCCAAGATTTAGGTTTAAAGCAAGATGAGTACGTAGTTAACTGCGACTGTCAGAGCACATTAGACTTGAACAAGAATCCTACTTATCATTCTCGAACGAAGCACATTGATGTAACATATAATTGGCTATGACAAGTAGTGGCAGAACAATTGATATTGTTAGAAAAGATTCATTTTGAGAAAAATATAGCTAATATGATGACAAAGGTTGTGACCAGAGAAAAGCTCGAGTTTTGTGCCGGACTTGCCGCCATGGACCCTAACTAATCTATTAGAGGATAATCTCCTTCCTCAGTGGGTTGTTTAACAGATGCATAAAGCTCAAATTTTTTTAAAAAAAATCAAAAAGCGACAGAGACATATTCTTCATTAAACTTTTTTTTTTTTCTAAACAAAGAATATAACATATAATTCAACTATTGAGACCACGGATGTAGTTATATGGGTTTCTTTGATAGAATAGAAAATAATGAGATCATCTGAGTAGTAGTTTGAAGAGTTTAAGAGAAAAATAGATTAAATATTAATTACGACACAAATAGTACAAGTACACATCATGTGGAATGTATGCTTTTTTTACTTACAAGTCGCCAAATAGCAATTCACATCATGCATTATAATCAGCAATTCGTTAATGTCCACATGGGAGTCCCAGGTTAGTTTCATGTCAAGTGCTTGTCATTAAACACAAACGAAATATAAATAAAAGATGGGAAAGAAGAAGAATTTACAGAAAAAATATAGTGTTTTGTTGGTTGTGGATGCGATGTGTTACGTGAAGATACTTGTAGAGAGGTTTTATGTTGTACAATTCTCTATCACTCTATGCATCCTATATATACTAAATTCGACTACAACAAGATAAACAATCCAATAGATTAGTTAGGCCATCCAACCAGCATCACTTATCCTCCAAAAACACTTTGTCCATCCATGTTCGACCATGGCATTGTT